TAGTCATTGGAAATGGAAAAATGGCATTATATATATTATATATATATAAATATATATTATACATACTCTCCTTTATTTCAGTTACCATCCCCATAGAATTTGACAAGAATTGCTATGACTGAAAGGTTTTCAAGTCCTAATTAAAACTTTTATTTATGACAGTATTCATAATTAGCCTGAAATGCATTCTATGGTAATTTCTCCTGAATTTCTGGAATGTTTTTTTAGACTTTTTGTATGTGCAGCAGCTTACATGTCTGAAGTTACTTGAAGGCACCACTTTTAAGAAAGCTTACAGTTGGGCCCTGTACCATCCCAAATCCTCTGTAACTCCTCTTGGATATTTTTGCCATAATTATAAAAGGGTAGTTGAATAGCATCACCATTCTTCGCTGTGGCACAGGTTATAAACTTAAGTGGAGTTTACCGGCAGCATCAAATGTTTCAGCTTTAAAAAAGTAGGGTACAAGTTACGTGTTTAGTTCTAGAAAATTTGTGCAATATGTTCATAACGATGGCTGTGGTTGCCACAGAGTGCCTCGTTTACCTTTAAATACTGTTAATGTGTCATGCATGCAGATGGAAGGGGTGGAACTGTGCACTCAAGTGGGGGCTTTAGTATTTGGCAGAGTTGCCTTCTTTCTGCCAGTTCAAAAGTTCAATCTGTTTCGTATAGAATATATATACTACAAATTTTCAGTCTGTTAAACAGCCTTACTCTGATTCAGCCTCTTCAGATATTCTTGTGCAGCAGTGGCTCTGTGTGTAAATGCTATGCACTGAGGATACACACACACACACACACACACACACACACACAAACACGATGTGTACAGGATAATGCCTCATACCAATCAGATGTCCATTTGTTACTGTGTTTGTTAACAACCCTTTATCTCTTAGTGTTATAAACTCCACTTAAAACTGATTAAAGTCTCATTCTTGTCATTGTGTGGGTGTTTTATTAAATGAGAGTATTTATAATTTAAATTTGTTTAAATCCATTGAAATTTTAAGTTATGAGTAGCAATTAGGATTATGTTTTCTGTAAGGTTCCGCCCACCCTCCTGCTGTCAGTCAGAGTCAGTGGGCTTTTTATAACAGCACATCTTTTGCTTAGGAGTAGAGTGTCTACTCATGTTTAACAGAAACACTTTCTAAGACTTAGTCACCTCTTAATAAATTGTCCAGGCACATGAAATAATAATTTTAATCTTGACAAGATTCCAGATTCTTGGAGAACTGTTGAGATTGTATTATTGAGCCAAATGTCTAAAGACACTGTCCCCAAATGGATTTGATACTTGAGATTTCAATTTTGTAGCTTTTCCTTTCTTTATATTTTTTTACTCTGCCATCACCATATGGGAAACTTCATCTACTCCTTGTGACTTGTGCCATATAAAAAGTGAAATTTCAGATTTAGCCTAAAAGACCTTATGTAATTTTATTTCAGATACACTAGGAAACTTAATGTGTGAGGTATATCTTTTCAGCCCAACGCAGTAAGGTAATGAAGTGTAGTGTGTACAAATGTTTTGACCATTAACGTAACAGTGGATTTAATGTTTCAACTTTACATGTTTTCCATGTGACTTCAGTGTGAAAAATGTGTAAGATGAAATGTGTGTATATTCACAGTAAGTGTATATGAAAATTGTCCTGGAGTCTGATAGCATTTTGATTTATAAGAACATAATTTGGTGATGTTTGCAAAATAGGAATTTATTGGCATTTTTATTGTATCACGCCCACACTGTACTGTAACTTGAGCTGGTGTGACTCAGTGAATGCCATCACCATTTCCATTGCGAATTTACAAATCACCAGTGTTTTAACATGCAGGCTTCTAAAGACTTATAAAAAATCAAGACCCTTAAATTTAGTTAATTTACTACTAACTTGAAGCTCCGGGTTCTTTTATTTTTGCCAGCTAATTGGCAGTGTACTTAAGGCTGAGTCTTAAGTGGCTTACATGTACCTTTGAATTAGTGCTGTCTCTAGTGCAGAGAAACTTTTGTGAGTGAAAAGGATAATAGTTAAAACTTGTAGGGAGGAGATGTAAAAAATACCAAGCAAGATAACGGAGAAAAACCTTTAAAGATCAGATATTAGTAATTTTCCTATAAAATTATATAGCTATAGGAATCCTACTGGCAAAGTTGCTTATCAGCTTGTAGTGTTCAGAGAAAATCATTTTATGACCATGATCTTCACCATCTTGCAAGAAATCTTTTAAATGTATCAGAATATATGGGTAGCCACTTTGACAAATTCATGTTGGTTGGTAGCTTTAAACAATGTGAAGACAAAACAGTTCCACTGGTAAAAATACACTTTGGTTTTTAAGTTGTCTATTCTTACAATAATTTCCTAACAATAAAATAATCACTTAAAATTCCAACACTTGGAGATATAGCCATTATTAATACTTTAGTGACTATACAATCTTGTTTTTTTGTGTATATGTATATATTTAAAATGAAATTTATACTGCTTCATATTTTCATGGATTTGTAGAATGTTCCATTGCTTCACAAAATGGAAAGCTATTTGAATACTTTGTAATGTTACAAATGCAGATTATATAGTTATTGAGAGTCTTAAGTCAGTGAGTTAATCATAAATGTTTCAATACTGTTGGCATTAGTATGATATGTCTTAAGTAAAGCAGTTACATTGATTTAGCATAGAGACGCTTAAAATTTTGAGAATTCAGAACCATTTTTAAGTAGAATGGATGCAACACTATTAATAGTTCACTTCTGTTTCCCTTTTAGATTGGAAAAGGAAGGTGGACTTTTCAGTTTGTATAGTGGTAAGAAGTTGCTCAATTTAGAGCCAATTATTTTAACACCTGTTTGCCCCGCTCCAAAACAAACTACTGTGGATTTATCACTCACCTTTAAATATGCTTGCCCATGTGATTTGCATCACATCAGAAATAATGTTTCATGAATGGTTGACCCTTAGCTCTGAAACCAGGTTTCTTATTGTGGCGAGCCTAGAATGTACAACTCTTTTTGATAGTATTTGAGAATTTTGGTGAAGACATTTAGCTGAGGGTAGTGTATATAACTTAAAAATCAATGTAATGATATTTTTAAAACATTTTTACATGAGTGAAGTTAACTGCCATCTTTGAGCATTACCACATTTTAAAATAAAGCTACATATTTTTAAATGAAGTGTTTAACAAGGATTTATATTTTTTATTTTTAAAAATTAAAAATAATTTATATCTTTGTTGCATGTGGAGTTTCATCTGTCCTTATAATGGTTAGAGAGTTTGTGTAGAAGAAACAAAGTTTATAGTCTTGGCTTTGGTGTTGCGGTTTGCCACATCTGTCTACTGCAGTGAAATTCCTAATGTTTAGGTATAGTGTTCAATAGCACATCACTTGTTGGCTTTTATTTAGGTGTGCCTCTAGAATTTTTTGCCTGTTCTATTACAGTTGTCTGAATGATATCCCACCTTTACAAATACCCTTTCCATATCTAAGTTGTTTTCATTAAATTGCTCTTATGCCCTAGTGAACAGTTTGTATGTGTGCATGTGTGCATTTGTGTGTATTTGTGGAGTGTGTCTGGGTGAATTAGATTTTCCAGAGTGCTACACTAACTTTAGAAATTAAATAATTTGATTCAGGCAAATATTTCCTGGG